GCTTCTCACCTTCCACACTCCGCTTCTCACCTTCCACACTCCGCTTCTCACCTTCCACACTCCGCTTCACACACCACCATGGCCTCGCACCGTTCCCCCAACTACAACGAGGTTCGGCTCCATAACTACCTCCGCCACTGGAACCGGACCTCGGACCTCGGACCTCACCGAAGTTGACCGCGACGCCGTCGAATGGGCTACCGAAGAGGAGCGGCGGGCACGGCAGAAGAAGTACGACCAGGTGGCGCGCGACTACTACGACCTCACCCCGCCCATCTTGGAGCAGGGATGGTCTCATAGTTCCACTTCGCGCCCATGGTGCCGGCCTCTCTGTCGAGGAGAGCATGATTGCATACGAGAAGCTGTATGCCAAGATGGCCGGCCTCAAAAAGGGCATGCGCGTTCTGGACCTCGGATGCGGCGTGGGTGGCCCCGCGAGAGTCATCGCCGCGGAAACCGGTGCCAACATCGTCGGCCTCACCAACAGCGACTAGCACGTCGAGCGCGGTACTGCCATGACCAAGAAGGCCGGGCTGGACCATCCCATTACGTTTGTCAAGGGCGACTATATGGTGTGCCTTGTCTTCTTCTCCTTCTCTTCTCCTCTCTTAAGATTAGACTAACAGACAAGTTAGAAACTGCCGTTCCCCGACGAGTCCTTCGACGCCGCGTACTCCATTGAGGCGCTGTGCTACGCCCCCAACCCGATCCTCGCCTATCGCGAGATTGTGCGAGTGCTCAAGCCCGGCGAGCCCTTCACCCTGCACGACTTCGCCATGACGGAGAAGTTCGACGAAAGCAACCCGGAGCACCGCAAGGTCCGCAACTGGATCGAGTTAGGCAACGGCATGACCAAGCTGCCGTGGGTGCCCACGATGCGCGGGGCCCTCAAGGAGGCTGGTAAGTTGTTTCCCCAAGAGATGGGTATTACGAATTCTCTGCTGTGTTGGGAACCTATGCTAATCCAGATAAGGCTTTGAACTCATCCGTGAGGAAGACGTGCAGCTCCGCAGCGCGCCAATGCCCTGATACTACGCCCCCCGCCGGCAACATCCGGTGGGCCTGGAGGACACCCGGCTGGGCCGACTTCTGAAAGGTCTTCAAAATGTGGATGCCGTTCCGCAACATTGTCCAGAACATCTACCGGCTCCGGTACTACTTGGGCCTCGAGCCCAAGGAGTCGTCCTCACTCTTTGACATGATGTGGTACTGCCCCAAGGGCTGTGCCACAGGCGCCGCCATGGGCATCTTCACTCCCATGTATTTGTTCGTTTGCGAAAAGCCAGCAAAGAAGTAGGTCTGAGGGGTTCATCGAGCGCTGGTCCGGTTTGAGAGGGCTTCGAGGGGAAGTCTCATGGGGTTAGGGTTAGATATGTGTTCATTTGGGTTCATTTTGCCATCACTTTGTCTCGGGCCTCTTGGCGCGACCTTGATGTCTCCGAGTCGACTGCTAGCATGTGCCGTATGCCATCTGCTCAACAAAGCCTCTTTATCCGCCCCCGATCTTGCCCTGAATAAACGGCCAATCAACTATGGTACCACCATCCGTGGTACAGCAGTAGCAATCCATTCGCTTGTTACGCGGCTCAATTGGCCGATAATACATACGGAGATACCTGTTTTTGTTTGTTTGCTTGCCGTGCCCTGGTGGCACCCGCTGTCCGCTGCCACTGCCCGTCAACATGCCTCCCTACCGAGACGGCCCGTTTGCATCCTCCTCCCGACACAGCTCGAGTCGAGACAGGTGCCAGAGTACACCCAGGATGTCGCACGAGTCGGGGTCCTCCGTGTCCACCACGAGCATCGTCTTCGACCGCATCGGCGAGCGCGTTGCCGCCGCCAATGAAGCCGCTCTCGAGAAGCGCCTCCACGAAGACGACGACGATGCCCTCAAAGACGAGCTGACTAACGATGACCTCGAGACCGGCCCCTTCCTTGGCAACGGTGACTCCAGCAGAACCCAACATGGTGGCAATAAGGGGCGCGAAATGGACCGTGGGCTGCGTAAGGCACTCCTCATCGTCGCAGGTCTGCTGGTCTCTTCCTGGGTCGCCGGCCTCGCCGTCTATGTCGGCACGGAAGCCTACAAGTCTGCCTCGGAGTTTGGTCACGACCCTCAAGCGACTGTGTCCCGAGGATCGGGAAAGGCCCTGACACTGGACCAGGTTATGGGCAGCTTCTGGCGTCCTGAGTACCGCTCGATACAATGGATTGCTGGGCCAGAGGGCGAAGACGGACTCCTGCTGGAGAAGGATGTTGGCAGCAAAAGCTTCCTCGTCGTGGAAGATGTCCGCGCCCAAAACGCTGCTGCTGCGCCTGCCTCAGCTGGCGCCCCCGTGGCCGAGGCGAGGATCTTGATGGAGAAGAGTACCTTCGACTACGGGACCAGGTCATACACGGCGGTCAACGTGGTACCCAGCAGAGACATGCAGAGGGTGTTGGTCGCAACCGACTTGAAATCAAATTGGCGCCACTCTTCCTACGCCGCCTACTGGATTTTTGATGTCAAGACGCAGACTGCCGAGCCCCTAATCCCCGGTGAACCGGACGCGCGCATCCAGCTTGCTCAGTGGAGCCCAGCAGGCGATGCCGTCGCTTTCACCAGAGACAACGACCTGTACCTACGCAAGGCCGGCTCCGACATCTTCGTCCAGATTACCAAGGATGGCGGCTCCGAGGTGTTCAACGGCGTTCCCGACTGGGTCTACGAAGAAGAGGTGTTCTCCGGGGCCAGCGCCACATGGTGGTCCGAAGATGGCAGCTACATTGCCTTTCTGCGGACCAATGAAACTGGTGTTCCCGAATACCCCGTCGAGTACTACCTTTCCCGGCCCAGCGGTACCAAGCCCAAGCCGGGCGAGGAATCGTACCCGGAGACCAGGTACATCAAGTACCCGAAAGCCGGCGCACACAACCCCGTTGTCGAACTCAAGTTTTATGACGTGGTCCGCGGCGATGTCTTCTCGGTGGACACGTCAGGCGGCTTCGCCGACGATGATCGTTTGATTACCGAGGTAGTCTGGGCCGGCAAGCAAGTGCTGGTCAAGGAAACAAACCGGGTCAGCGACGTCATGCGCGTTGTCTTGGTGGACGTGGCGGCGCGCACGGGTAAGACTGTCAGGTCGACGGATGTCAAGGCCATTGATGGCGGCTGGTTTGAAATCACCCATCAGACCAAGTACATCCCGGCGGACCCGTCCAAGGGGCGTGAGCATGATGGCTACATCGACTTGATCATCCATGATGACGGGAACCACCTCGCTTATTTCACTCCGCTGGACAACTCCGATCCTGTTATGCTTACTTCTGGCAAGTGGGAGGTTGTCGAGTCCCCCTATGCTGTGGACCTGGACAAGAATGTCGTCTACTTCGTGGCAACCAAGGAGTCGTCGATCCAACGGCATGTCTATCATGTCAAGCTGACTGGAGAGGGTCTAACTCCGGTGTCTGATACCTCTGCCGAGGGCTACTATGCCGTTTCATTCTCGACTGGGGCTGGCTACGCGCTAATGACATATCAAGGTCCGGGCATCCCCTGGCAAAAGGTCATCAGCACGCCGAGCAACCCTCACAAGTACGAGCACACCGTTGAAAAGAACCATGATCTTGCCGATCATGCAAAGAAATACGAGCTGCCCATCAAGATCTATGGCACCATCAACATCGACGGCGTGGACCTCAACTACGTCGAGAGACGGCCGCCGCACTTTGACGAGAGCAAAAAGTATCCCGTGCTGTTCCAGCAGTACAGCGGGCCGGGCTCGCAAACTGTGAACAAGAAGTTCGGAGTCGACTTTCAGTCCTTTGTGGCTGCGGGGCTGGGATACGTCTGTGTCACCGTCGACGGGCGCGGGACGGGCTACATCGGCCGCAAGAACCGCGTCATCGTCCGCGGCAACCTCGGGCACTGGGAGTCGCACGACCAGATCGCCGCCGCCAAGATCTGGGCCAAGAAGAAGTACGTCGACGAGACGCGGCTCGCCATTTGGGGGTGGAGCTTTGGTGGCTTCAACACGCTCAAGACGCTCGAGCAGGACGCCGGCCAGACGTTCCGCTACGGCATGGCCGTGGCACCCGTCACCGACTGGCGCTTCTACGACAGCATCTACACGGAGCGGTACATGCTCACGCCGCAGCTCAACGGGCACGGCTACGACACGAGCGCCATCACAAACATCTCGGCCCTGTCGCAGAACGTGCGCTTCCTGATGATGCACGGCGTTGCCGACGACAACGTGCACCTCCAGAACTCGCTGACGCTGCTGGATAAGCTGGACGTGAACGGGGTCGAGAATTACGATGTGCATGTTTTTCCCGACAGCGATCACAGCATCTACTTTCACAATGCGAACCGGATTGTTTATGACAGTGAGTCCCGTTCTCTTTCCTTTTCGAGTCACATTAAGAGTGGGTGGCTGACCATACTGCAGAGCTGACGAGCTGGCTTATCAACGCTTTTAACGGGGAGTGGCTCAAGGTGGCCAACCCGAAGCCGAACGGAACCAGGAGTAAGCGTCAGCCCGAGGCTTGATAGACTGACTGGGCTGAGGCGGCGTTGCGAGGCATTGGATGGCGTCAGGCGTCTAAGATGGGTATTATTCGCGTTTTGGTATATGATTTGGTATGTCGCAAATAAGCAGATTTACACAAGTCCAACTCCGTTCGAAGCGAACGGGCTCGAACTCCTCTGGTCAAGTCTCGCCCTTCCCATCCCCCTCCCGAACCGACCCAACCGTCCGGAATTCATATTTCTCCCCCAACTCAGAGGTTGATCAACTGCGGATGCGTCTCAACCGTATCGTCAACCTTCTCGATGATGGCGGCCGTCCCGTAGGCGCACACCTGTGCGAAGCCGCCCAGCTCGCCGGCGTCGAAGCGCAGGGCGATGACGGCGTTGCCTCCGCGGGCCTGTGTCTCGGCGACGATTCGCGAGATGGCGTCGTTGCGCGCGCTGTAGAGCTGTGTCATGGGTTGTTAGCCTCAACGTTTACCCCCTTCCATAGTTGTGAGAGAGGGAGGGGGGAGGTAGGGAGGAGAATATACCATGTTTGTGAACCACCTCAGCTCGCCGCCGGCCACGCTCTTTAATACCATGCCCAGGCTCGCGGCCCAATTGCGCGACCGCACCGTCAGCCCGTAGACGGCGCCCAGCACGCGCACGACACGGTAGCCGGGCACGTCGAACATCGTGGTGGTGATGACTCCATTTGTTTCGGTGAAGCCTTTTGGTTCATCCGCAGTTTTTCGTTCTTGTTAGCCACAGTGTTTTCTTACTTTTAGAAAGGGGAAGTTGGTCGGCGTAAATTGAGATTGGTAGGCAGTGTATACATACAATGCAGATCTGAGATTTGAGGCGGGATCTCGGCGGTTTGCTCCTTGGAGTTCATTGAGAGGCGGTGGGAGTGGGACATGGTGATGCGGTTTGTCTGATCGACAACAAGCAGCAGTAGCAGAGCTTTTGAGAATCAGAAATGTTGAATGATCAGATCGGATTATAGTAAACAGCACTGCTTGGGATAACACTCGAGTCGAGAGAAGCTTGGTAGCGTTCTAAGTGTGAGTTCATGTTGGTGCTCAGAATCCGGCTTTATATACACAAAAGATGCTCGGGAAATGACGGACATGTATTATGCCTCGCATCCTTAGTGCCTTCCACTAATCCCTCATGATGTCTCGTGCCCCTGACTTACCTTCGCCATCTTCTCGACGATGTGAAGTCGTTGGAGGTGCCAAGCCACAAGGCCGACTTCCCGTAGTTCGCCGTATTTCGCATTCCGTTTTCATTGGACAGGAACTGGGCAGCAACTTGGCTCAGCCGAAGCCAGCCACCGACTGTGGAGCCTCATAGCTGTGGCACGGCCATGCGCTCGGCTGATGATCGGCGTCTTACGCTCGGGACTCGGCACCGCCATTGGCGCCAGGGCAGGTTTGTATGTGTGATATCAAGGAGAAAGCTCTTGTGTTTGGTGTTTGACTCTTTCCTCTTCTTTTTATCAAGTGTTGGTAACAACAGTGGAAAACTGGAACGAGGCTGTAGGCGGGACAGGCGCCTAGGTACAGTGGGGGGCCAAAAGTATCCGAGCACCCCACCTCAATTAAACGCGAACTCAGCGCGTCGCGACCAGTACGGTTTCTTCAACCTTCCACAACTCGACCAAATGAAGCTCAATTTAAAAGATTTTGCGGGCCAGCTGACAGCAAACCGCAGCCGGAACCAGGAGTTATCGCTCGGGATTCATGCCGCAATGTGCACGCTGGTGGCAGCTGGAAAAAGCGAGCGGTTCGTCGCGGGCTTGTTTCGCGTCTCTCCGTCCACGGTACACTACGCCATTGAACACTGGAACAAGAACCACACCTTCGAATCCAAGCCTCGCAAAGGCCGGCCCCAGGCGCTCACCTGAAAGGAAAAGCGGTATACAATATTGCTTGTCAAACGGAATCGAACTCTCGCTAAAAAGGCGCTCGTGAACGCTACAGGTAAGGTCGTCTCCTATTCTACGATCAAACGATGCCTCCGCGCCAACAAACATGCGCAAGTGGAAGGCAATGAAGCGGATACCCCTTTGCAAGGAGGTAGCAAGGGATAGGTATAATTTCGCATGCGATTGGCTTGAAAATATTGAGGAAATCTTGCAGGTTTGTCGTTCTAAAATTGACCTGGATTTCTTACCCGCTAACTGTTCCAGACTATGTTCTCAGACGAGTGTTCTTACCAGAATAGCACCTCCAACCCGATCTCCTAGGTGTTCCGTTTCCCTTCTAAGAAGTTCGATAAGCGTTTCGTAAACCTTCAAAACCATGTGAAGGCGAATATCACTATCATGGTCTGGGGAATGATCTTCAAGGGGGGGCGGAGCGAGCTCATCGTTATAGCCCGTGACGACGATGCTCCTCGGAAGGGGTATACAGCTAGGTCGTATCAAAAGGCCCTCCAAGAAGGTCTCATTCCTCACTACGACGAAACACGGCATTTCCAGCAAGATAACGCAAAGATTCACGTCTGTAAGTCGACCGAGGAGTGGCTCCAATCACGGGGAATCTCATAGATCGAATGGCCTGCACACAGTCCCGATTTAAACCCGATTGAGCACGTCTGGGCTGCTCTTAAACGGAAGCTAAGGAAGTTGTTCCCTGATCTCTGGGAAGTAAAGAAGAACACGCTGGATATCAAGTACTTTACCGAGTGTTTGCGGACGGCATGGTGGGCAGTAGAACAGGATGGATTGACAAGCTGATCGACGGCATGCCACGCCGCTTGGCCGCCGTGAAGAAGGCTAGGGTGCTGGTACACAAAATATTAAAGCCCTGCACTTGGCCATCACTCAGATACTATCAGTTTTGCGCTGTGATATGGTTGTGTGAAGTTATTGTTGGATAAGGAGGGACGATGTAAAATGTGGGAGGTCGGGAAATGTGTGGTGCTCGGATACTTTTGGGCCCCCACTGTACTGGCTCTCTGCTGCCACGGTCTGCAAGTCATTTCGTTGGAAATGACTCATCAGGAGAGACAACATTGTCAGCTAAAGTGTTGGTAATCGTTTCAGAAAGCAATCATCCTACTTCTAGTAGCTACTGCCTTGTCCTATACATGTCCGGCCGTCAAGACTCGCTTGAATGCCAGGCCGAGACGTAGCACAGTAAATGCACAGAGAAAGCAGGGCTCCACAGGGCTAAATCAGCGAGCTTAGGACTTCTCTCTCCCAATGGGGCAAGTGGGTCAGCGGCGCCGTGTGCCCGGATACCCCACCAATCCAACACGGAGAGTCGGAACGACACTCCCGGGTCTCTTCAAGAACAAGCATTCTGTCAGGGTCAAGATCCCGCCATGTAGAGTTCCAACGAGCTGTCTTCGGCTTGCGATGCCGCTCGCCAAACACATGCCAATTCAGCCGGGGCAGCTGTGGCCACCGTTCCGCTGCCCTGGTCCCAACCTCGAAATGGTTAATAAAGGTGCCATCACTTCGTCGAGACGTCCCTTTGTTAGACACTTGACTTGACTGGTTGTTGACCTGGAGCTGGACCCGACGCAGACCTACACAATGCATTCCGCAACTCTCCTCGGCCTGCTTGCGGCCGCCGTGACAGTATCGGCCCGTGCATGCTCGGGCTCCGGCGCCAGCGAGATCAAGTGCCCAATCGTATTCGACGGACGCGTCAAGACGACGACGCAGCTCACCGACTTCGACAGCTCCTCGACCTCGCAGTTCAACCCGGACTACGTCAAGGGAAATAACTTGAAGTGGAGCGACATCGTCAAATTCCCCAACACGGCCAACGCCCACTTCGACAACGCCACCTACAAGCCGTTCGAAGTCACCATCAGCGACCAGAGCATCTTTCAGACCCAGTACGGGTTCCGCCGCGCCGGCCTGCTGTTCAATGGCGACACCAACGAGGGCAGCCCCGGGTCCACGGGCGTCAAGACGATTCACTTCAGCCTGAAGTGGGATGCCCAGCGCGCCCTGAACCTGAGCCACGAGTATCTGCTGGTGTGGCACGAGGCCGCTGATTACAGCTCCAACCAGTTCAACTTTGAGGCCGGCGCCATCCTGGGCCAGGCGGGCCTGCCCAAGGACACCTACAAGTTGCTAGACCGCAACAACAAGCAGGTCTGGTCGACGCCCATCCTCAAGAAGGACTGGCAGAACTTTGCCGTGACGCTGGACTTTAACAAGAAGTGCGTTCTTCCTTGTTTTGTGTGACCGAGCGGGTAACTAACAGACTTGCAGCACGCTTCAAGTGTACTACTCCAAGGGCAACGAGCCGCTCAAGAGCGTCACCAGCCCCGTTTCCAACAACAACGCCGGCGACGGCCAGTACCAGATCGGCTTGCTCAAGAAGCCAACCGGCACCGACGACGTCGTCAACTCGGGCTACCAATCAAACAACCTCAACGAGGGCCTCATCTACGGCAGCCTGTTTGTCGAGGACAGTGCGACCGGTTGTGTTTCAAAGTAAGAGCCGGCGGTTTGCCGATCAATTTTCGGAAGCTGAGTCTCAGAATCACAATTTGCTAGTATAGAGTGTGTCATCGGGTTATATAAATAACCACCACAATCCCAACGCACGTCACAGAGTAAAATCCCTTGCCATATGACCCTCACCATCCCATCTCCGACAATGCACTATACCTCACCACCTTCCAACCTTCACTGGCCTACCCCTCTCGCCACATAGCTAATGCGCAACCCCCTGATACCTCACGGCCACAATTGAGGGGCTCTGCGGCCCGTCATACACCTGATGCGCCATGATCTCCTCCGGGCCCTCCCCGACCACGGGTAGGTATGCCGCGGGAAAGTACTGCATCGCCATGTCGTGCGTGTGGTCGTCCACCTGCCGCGCGATCCGGAGGTATGCCCCCGTCGAGTGGTGCATGACAAAGATCGAATCGACCGTCGGCGCGTTGGGGTCGACGTCCTCCCCTATGATGAACATGAACCAGACGCGGTCCCTGGACGGCGCAGTGCTGTCGTCGTTGTGCTCCGAGTAGCACCACGTTTGTGGGATGGTCGTCAGGGTGTGGGACAGGGTGGTGCCGAGGGCGAAGCAGTGCGAAGTTTTGGCGCCGGGGTAAGGGCGGATATGGAAGTTGATGCTGTTACACAGTGGTTGGCAGTGTTAATTCGGCGGGGTATTATATGGGTTGCGAGAGCTAAAGGGGGTGGGGTGGATAATTGGCTACGCACTAATTCCGCTCGCTCATCACCACTTCCTGGGCTTCGAGGTATCTCACGTCAAAGTCGAAGACTGTGTCGATGATGTCGGGGAGCGGATTGGGCGGTGGCACGCCCGCCGGTCCGCTTAAGGGGGAGAATGCCGGCCTTGGCGGAGGTTATGAGTGATGTAATAGCAAGGACGGCGTGTGGGATCATTGTGATTGCGCTTTTTGTCCTCGTTCTGCTGAGTTTCTGGGACGCCGGACTGTTAAGACCCAGGCTACTGGATTGGCCAAGCAAAACTGGACTGGTGATGAGAAACGAGGTGGACGAGAGCACTCGATATCGCAAGAACCAAAGACCTGAGTTCCCAATGGCGGTTCCGATATTCCAACTGCCATTTTGGTAGCACCAAGTTGCTGGCACCGGAAGCAGACGAGCAGCGAGGTCGCAAAAGGTGATTTGAAGTTGAAGCTTCTCGATGAGCCTTCCCTCTGTGAGGGGGTGTCTGCTTCAAGTCCCCAAGGAACAACTCAATGCTGAAACCGAACTTGGACGGTGAACTTTGAAGCAAAGAAACTGGGAAACGCACATCAATTGATCTACGGTATCTGTCCTTTCAAACCTCATCTTGCATGGCCGACACTTGGCTGCTTATGAAGCTCGAGACAGTCTAGACATACCTGCCAGACAACATCATCAAAACACACGCCGAGAGGGAATGACGCCTGCTATGTTGCATGGGGCCGGGAGGCACCACAGAAAAGAGATTGAGACATTGCTCGCGAATGATGTTTGAGTCATTGACTGACTGCAAGCTGGGCCACAATGCTCTTGTCTCTGTTACGCAGCACATCCAGAACTCTGACTCAAGGTACTGACTGACACCTTAGATCGACAAAGTCGCAGAAAAGAATACTGCAGGCGCCAAATATCTGAAAGTTCGTCCAACCCCCGTCCCTACAGCAGTGCTGCCATCGCCGGCGACACCGACCCGAGGTATGTGTTGCTGTGGGCAGGGTTTCGGCATGAAAAATAGACATGCAGGGCGTTCATCTCATCCGCAGCCGGGCGGCTCTCTCCGCCTTTCGAAGCGGGAGTTTGTGCTGACTGGCCGATGTCCTCCTCTCACGGGTCGAACCTGCAGAAGTAGCTTGCCGGTCCACCGCCAACTCACCATTGACCGCTGATTGGCAAATTTCCTGGCGCACAACGCCCGGCCGCGGCTAGAAAGTCGGTTCCTGCCCAGCCCTCCTGGATTTTATCTTTCTCTCCTTCTAATCCTTTCTCGCGACTTTACTTGGTTGTCAACATCTCCCAGCAGGAAACCGGCCCGATCTGGAGAGCGCGGTGATCGAGTGGATCCCGTGACTGCCCTGGTCTTCGGTTCAGGAGTGACCAGAGGTCCGGACCAAGGGCCCGCACCGTGGTGTCGCCGCCTTGCGCTCGTTTCGGAGATCACCTCTGGCCCCTGTCCAAAAACGGCTTCTGCATCCTCTCTTTTTTGAAGTCACGGCCTTTTCTTTCACAACTTCGAGAAAACGACAGGAAAGCGGGCCTCATCATCCCAGCATTCCAATTACGTCTCAATCAGGCAGCAGGTACGCAGAACCCAGTTCAGACGGCGACGTAATCGAGTGGAGCGCTGTCAATGGCTGCGCCGCTACCCCTCTGGCGTCCCGAGTCGGCGCGGCAGATTTATTTTCATTCGTCCCCGAAACTGACACCCGCGTTTTTGCCAGATCGCACGACCAGACCTCCCCTTTGTTGTCGCATCCCTCCCCTACATCTGCCCGTAAAGCCAATTCCGTGCCATTGTTTGCCGCCGACAATTCTCACCACAAATCCGCAAGGTATCTTCGTCCTCGCACAAACCGTCAAAATGGCCCGCATCCAGATTCCGATAGACGTCTTGACGTCGCGCCTGAACCTCGGCGACCGCTTCGCCAGTATCCGATCCGGGTCATTGAGCAGCCGCTTCTCAAACCTGCGCCCCATCTCCGAGTTCCTCGACGTGAAGCGCGTCAGCAAACCGGCCAACTTTGCCGAGATGCAGTCGCGCGTCAACTACAATCTCGGCTACTTCTCCAGCAACTATGCCGTCGTCTTCACCATGCTTTGCATCTACAGCTTGCTCACAAGCAAATGGCTCCTCTTCGACGTCATCTTCGTCGCTATTGGCATGTTCGTCATTGGCAAACTCGAGGGCCGCGACCTTGAGTTCGGCCAGCAACGCTACTCGACGATGCAGCTGTACACGGGCCTCTATTGCATCGCCATCCCTATCGCATTTATCGGGGGGGTCCTCAGCACCATGTTGTGGCTGATTGGTGCGGGCGGCGTGGTCATTCTTGGCCACGCAGCTCTGTTGGACAAGCCCATTGACGAGGCTTTTTCCGGGGAGGCGGTCTAGGTGGTCGGCCGCGAGCTCCCAAACATGCGCCCCAATGGGGAAGACCATCGAGGCGCGAGAGGAGGACAGAGGAGGCGCGCGAAGGGGACGAGGAGAGGTGGTGGGAGTTCGGCCAGCGGGTCGTGGAGGAGCTGGAGAGTGATGATGAATTTGATACACATGGCGTTGGGTCGGCCTCGAATGCATTAGGTCATCGGTTTGTTAGTGATCCACTTCGATTCACGGGGATAGATTTGGGAGGTGGTGTTGGTAATGCCCGGCCACGGAGGGCATATGCGCATAAGAATGGGGAGGACGATGAGACTACGGACGACTCGGACCAGGACTCGGACGGCGAAGGCGGCGTTCGGCTGCCTTTGCTGGATTCCGAGGAGGAGGCACTTGCCGACGCCGCAATGGCCCGGATACGGCGGGCGCAGGCCAAGGGCAAGAAGGACGTCAAGCTGACCAAGGAAGAGCTGGCTGCGTACCAGCGGCGATTACAGCGAATGGAGGACGAGGAGCGCAGACGGAGACGCGAGCAGCGGGTCGCCATTCCGATATCCGAGCTCGATCCTGCCTCTCTGCGAACGCGGCTGTCAGTGGACGACGACAGGCCTCAACGGAACCCTTCGCCAGAACAAGGAGTGGACCGACATGTAGCTTACCCGCCAATGGGCTATTTTCCGCCGCAGCCGTCACGTAGTCGCCCACGCTCCAAGACCAATTCATCCAGGACTCCTAGTCGAGCCCCCACCGACCGGGAACAGAGCTCGTCTCCATTCACGTACACCTACGTCCGCGCAGAGCAACCTGCGACTCTTCGCCATCCGTCTGATCCAACCATTAGCAGACCGACCTCCGTTGCCGAGTCGTTGTCTGCCCGCAATGGCGGATCGCCCGCTTCGATAGGGGATCCCTTTCAATACATGACGGCCGGCGCGCGGACCTCGTACCATGCGGCCGCGGGATCTGTGCGGAACATGGAGGTTGACGATATCTACGCCAGTTATGGGTCAGGGACAGCTGGTGGCCCAAGTCAGCGGCTAAGCGGTAATCCTAGGGACGGCTCGTCCTCAAACGAAGACGACGATCGCGGTAACGGGGTGAGGGTCACTTCTGCAAGCGGCACTCGGCCTCGGCACCGAGACAGCGCTGATAGCCGCCGGGAACCTGCACCCGAACCGCGGGCATCGCGGGACCGAACGCCGCCTCCTGTCAAGAAGTCATCGGTTGGGCAATCGCCAGTTAATAAGCGCAAGTCAGTCTCGGGCAGCACCAGGTCGTCGGGCCGGCGGAAAGGGAAATAGTCAGCCAGTCATCCTCTGGGGTTTGTTTGAGAAGACTCCTCTGATGTAGTCGAATTTACTCGTCCCCCCCCCCCCCCCCCCCCCCCCCCCCCCCCCCCCCCCCCCCCCTCTCTCTCTCTCTCTCCCTCCTCTCTGGTGATAGGTACAAAGGTGGCTGGCTGGCGTCTTGCAGTGATAGACTAGTATTGCACTTAATTACATTTTTGGCACCCCAGCATTTTGCCCGCAAAGTTTTCGGTTTCAACCAGGAGCAAACCAGCCATGAAGCACTCTCAAGCCAATACACTGTCCCGGTACCTCGAGGTCAAAAACACTCGGGAACCCACAGGTCTTCTGCCCGGCCCCCGGCGGAAGCCATCGGTTCCAAACAACGATGCCAAACAAACCACAAACTAGTGATTGAGTCAACGCTGACTTAGAGACGGGATTAAGGCATTCATCTTTCCAGACCTTTGTTTCCTCCCACTCTTTACTCCCCTTCTTCCTCCTTCTTCCTCTTTCTTCCTCTTTCTTTCTCCTACTCATCCTCTTCTCAAACAAAGACAACAGCGAGAACCGACATGGCCGCTTCTGTCTTGAAAATCTACCCGAAACTTCAGGCTACGGACCCCAGCCGGCCCAGCCTGGCCGACCTTCCACTCGAGATCGTGCTAATGATCATTGAGGACCTTCTCGACTCGGCGCAAATCATCATCATTGGCACTTCGGGCGAAGAGAAAGAGAGTCCTCGGACAGGGCGAATGGAACAAGAATTCACCTTTCACCCGCCGCCTCTCCACAAGCTCAGCGCAGTCTTCCGTCTGTTCCGCCACATGTACCGCCGCTCGCGGCTTACTCTGTGGGGTGCGCACCCCCACCCCAGCAGCCGCTCCTACGACGTGAACAAGACACGCGACATCTTCTACGTCGAAAGTGTCTCTCGGAGGAGACGTCGGCGAGTACCACCTCAGATCAAATTTCAGGTTGGCCTCCGTCTTCCGTGCGGCGTATTTGCCGGAGCCAACAGAATCGCGACCGAACTTTCCTTCCTCGACATCAACCCGTTCTCGCCCATCCTTACGCTGCGCTTTCCGTTGAACGCCCGACCAAACTGCAAGGAAATCTTGTTTCTTTATCCCGTTAGCGGCTTGGAAAAAGCCAACATGAGCCTGACTCTGATGCGGCCTACAGGAGAGGACGTGAGGGTCTGGACGATGGTCAATGGGCGTAGGATATGGTCATGTGGAATGTGCCAGAAATTTCTGATCACGTTTGCACGAGATACTTCTGGATCGGACGTGTCCACGCACGGTGTCGGGGCAGTCATGGTGGATGAGAGAATGCTTGGGGGACCCCATGTTTCCCATGAGGTATTCGTCATGATTCCAAGTAGGTGGCCTGGAATGATTCGGCTCTGAGTCCGGGGGACTTGCGGATTGAATGACCGTCATATTCGCGTTTTCAGATCAACGGTTGTGATCTGATCAGGCTGCAAGAGAATCTGCACCTGGCACATCCAGCTGCAGTCGTCAATTGCACCATAAGGTAAATATGCCCCTGACGCGAGCATCGCTGACGAGCATAACGTGACAAAAGATGCGCGACGGGTCTAATATCTCTCTTGCGTGTACTTGCCTATAAAACGACCAATTCCCTTCCTTCACCCACTGGTCATTTTCAGTACTTGGCCTCGACATTCTTCCAACCTTGACTACATATCCACACACACGAGCACCAAGCCGCCATACACACGTTCGCAGCAAGAAGACTACAACAGCAATGGCTAGCATGGCGAATACCATTTCTACAAAATATGAGGCACTCCATGCTGCGGATCCCAGCCGACTCAGCTTAGCCAACCTGCCTTTGGAGATCCCTCTCCATATCATCGAGGACCTTTTCAAGCTAAGTTAGATCATCTTCATTGATATCTTCGTCTCATTCAGATCAGGGGATGTCCAGAAGATCATCCTCAGGCCGCCGCCCATGAACGGAATTGGCGGCGTCTGCCGCCTGTTCCGGCACAAGTACTGCAAGATCAGGCCAACACGCTGGGGCGCACATCTCTGCCCTGCCGGACCATACCATGTCGGCCTGAAGCGCGACATGTTCTATGTGCGGTTTCACCATCAAGACAGCATATTCGACTTGAGCCATCAACACTTGAACTTGGACGTTTACCTGGGGAAAGACGAGTTCGGCGGTATTCTGGACGGAATCGAGCGAATGGCGACGAGCGCATATTGCGTTTCGTATGAACTGGACCACTTCAACCCACCCGGTCGCTTGTATCTTCGGCACTTGAGCCCGCAGAGCAGAGAGCTCATCGTCCTGCCGCCTGCCTGGAGTTTGGAGAAAAATCCTGTTAGCGATGACGGACTGGAGCTGAACCCGTGCTGGAGCCCTTGAAGGATAACGACACTCTTGTGCTGGACGTGTCCCATGATGATGTGCGTTGGAGCGTTGAAAAGACATTGATTCTGCACCGGTTACTGTAACGCCGGGGGTATTTCCGCCGTGACGCCAGAACCCAGGAACAGCCAGAGTTATGGGAGCGGACTTGGCGGCTCTGTCCGTTGCCTGAGGTCAACGGGTTCGTAGTGGACAAGAGGCCATTGCATGATACGACCTGGGAAACTCCTGAGGGCTCCTGAGGCCTAGACTATTTTCGTTTCTGCCGTTGAGGTTGGACAGGAGGAGTACGAGGGGTTGGCAATGGATCAGAGGGAAAAGGGATGAGTAAGGGGGCTTCTGTATGACTTCTTGGAGTCTTGTGTTCTTGAGTGACTCTCCTATCACTCGAGATTTCAAGTCGTAAGTCTCTACATTGTCTACATATACTTCAATCCCGCAAAGATGTATGTAAGATACTTACCTGATCAAGAAGCCAAATATACGCGGAGTGATTTCCCAGACTGTTTTCCCGGACTGTGACTTAAGGTTCAAGCGTCCTGACCAACGTCCATCTCATCACGTTACAACAGGAGTTTCTTTTCTAGAAGATCCAGTCACCGAAACAGACTTGAACAGTACCGTCCGTGCTCCGTACAATCCCAGCCCTGGTTTGTTCGTTAGCGTCGCACATGGTGAGGTGGACATGGATGGAAATATTGACTCCAAAGGGGCCAAGAACAGGAGGAATGAAGATAAAAAGAGATCAAGAAGATAGATAGGTATAAAAAGGATGCGTAAGAAAAGAGACAAGAGGATAATATGGACGAAACTAAAGAGAAACCGGAAAACGAAGAAAGAATATCAAGAAGTAAGAGAAGATGAAGTTGTAAATTATCAAATCCCGTGCTAGCAAGATACCAAGCTATCCGTAGAAGTGTTCATTGACCATGTGCTGGACCAGTGCTAGCCGAAATAAGTTTAGCCCATTTCTTTCGCTGACCCATCAGAGCTGCCTGCCCGGTTCCTAGTTCCTGCGTCCGTCGCGGGGCAGAGCTTCGATTTCCTTCGCCAGAACACTCCCCAGACCATCGTCGCTCAACATGTCGAAAACGGTCAATATCTCGTCACCGTCACAGTTCAACGAGGTGCTGCAGGGCTCCAAATTGGTGGTCGCAGACTGTAAGTACAAGATCGCAATTCGGCTCCCTTCAGGCGTTTACCCCGCCAATGCTGTCGATTCTTGTACATAAACTGTTCATCGTCCTCATAGCTGATGTTCCGAGTTACAATTGCTGGCTACGGCGGATAACTGACTTGTCTCCCTAGTCTACGCCGATTGGTGTGGCCCCTGCAAGCAGGTAGCCCCAGTGTTCGAGAAACTCTCGCAGGACCTCTCACGCCCGAAACTTGTGACCTTCGTCAAGGTCAACACGGACCAGCAGAAGGATGTCGCCCAGGCCTACCGGGTTACAGCCCTACCGACCTTCATCGTCTTCCGCAATGGCAAGGTTGCGGACAAAGTCCAGGGGGCGGACCCCATAAAGCTCCAGGCCGTGGTCGAGAAGCTCAGTGCTGAGGTTCAGAACCTGAGCATCGGCGGCGGAGAATCGAGCGGCAGTGGTAGTGGCGGCGGCGGCGCCAGCTGGAGAGGGGCAGATCTTCCCCGCGGTTACACCGACATCACGGATCAGGTCGAGCTGCGGTACTGCGAGCTGCTCAATGTCGACCCAGACGGCGGAAGCGTGCGCGTGCTGTTTGACACGGGAAAGCCCAGCGCGCTGTCAGGAGGGAAGCCTGCCTCCAAGGACTGGGTCGAGAGCGACACTGACGAGCAGCTGCTGCTCTTCATGCCCTTTCAGTCTATGCTAAAGCTGCACACTCTTCAGGCAAGTCACGGAAGCGCACAGTGGGTGTGCCTGGAAGCCTGCTAACTCCCTCTGACTAGATCACGTCTCTCCCCCCTAGCGGCGACGACGACGAAGACGTCCCCATGCGGCCTCGGACGATCAAGCTCTTCACCAATAAACCGCACAATCTTGGATTCGACGAGGCGGAGGATTTGATTGCGACACAAGAGTTCGAGCTCTCGGAGGACGACTGGAATGCCGAGGGCACTGCCAATATCCCTTTGCGATTCGTCAAGTTCCAAAACATCACTAGCCTGGTTCTGTTTGTCGTCAATGGAGACGGCGATGGCGAGAAGACCAGGGTGGACCGGCTGAGGTTGATTGGGGAGACTGGCGAGAAGCGGGAGATGGGCAAGCTAGAAAAGATTGGCGATGAGCCTGGCGAGTAGGCGATAGCAGGACAGCCCCTTGCCACGTGCAAGAAGGGGGCTGGACGATGAATGATGACATTGTTGCAATAATGCAGATATGGCATTGATATGGGAAACATTTACGGGTCTGAAGCTGGCGTGGCAGGTGATGGCCAAAATGGCCGACCCTTCAAACCACAAATGCGGGAGGGAGACGGCTTTGATTGCACTCCTACTCCCATGACCAAGTGGTAAGGTGTCGCGTGGCAGGTAGGAGGCCCATGGATAAATGAAGCAGCCTTTCCCGAACAGCCCAGCTGGACACGACCTCAAATTCCAGAAACCGTGGAAACGGCACAAGCACAGGATCCGCGGCGCGAAACAAACTAGCCTCCGTCTCCCTGATTTTGTTAAGCGCATTACTGTGGAAAAGTTATGCGCTCTCACAACCAAATCGAGGTGAACCGCTTACAGACTACCTAGTTTCCGCTTGAACGGCGCCAATAATGACCATCACGGCTAACGACAGCAGCCCAACCAGGAGCCTCTCGGCAGAGACCGGATTGGCCCTTTTTACGCCCGCATGAACAAGAAAGAGTTATGTCCAGCAACCCCATCACCATCCAGCCCCTTTAGGGGTATCTTCTCGATGGAGTAACTGATGGGGACGCCGGCCTGCAATTATGATCGCTCTATTCCACATCTGACACGACGAGTACCATGGCAACTCCTTCGAAAAGGAATTGGGAATCGAAGCAACCGGGGAAGGTCATTGATTGATGTGGAAGCCGCACACCAAAACCAAAATCGAGTGAGAGAGGCAAAGGTCGATAGCTTGTGATCTTATACCAAGAAATTTTTTTGGGTGGGCCACGCCTGCGGAAGAAGTCATTTCCGAAACAGCTCCACTTAGCTGCCCCACATCACACCCGACACCGACCTTCTGCGCTTTGGCGTTGCATCTAGAACATGTCAGTGAAGCCTCGTTACAAGAACTGCTAACGGATACATCAGCTCGATAGGACAAACCTACTACGGGAGAAACTCATCCAACTCGACAACTTCCACTTTATCCCTATCTACTAATAAGACGCCCCATGTCACGGCACTGGACCGCCGATCCCTAGGTCACGTGGCACATTGCACTTAGCTTCAGGTTCATCTATCCATAGCTTCCTTTCCTCTTTATAGAGCTGTTGAACTGAGTGGGTTCCTTGGCACCAAGATTCACGGACTGAGCACTGATGTTCAATGCGAGACTCTCAGTCGACACAGATCCATCACAATGACGCAGTTCCTGCCATAAACGCCATATCATAGCACACTGTCTCTATATAAGGGGGGTAATTCCCCTGGGAGGATTAGAGAGGACAATTTTCTGTTCAAACAAGAAAGGGACATTCTGAGGCACCCTAACCCACTATCTTGATCCTTTATTTGTGTGGTCACTCTGGAATCGTGACTCCAATTCAAGCTTCGTTTCATACCTCAATCTGTTCAATACCATTTGGTTGATCTAAGCTTACTTGAGCATGTAACTGTTGGCTGCCCAACAAGAGCAACGCAGTTATCTTCAGACCTACTATGGTTCTGTGACACCCAAATTCTACTTTCTCTTGCTCTATAAGCAAGATGTATAGATACTATCTAGCGTTTTTAAAATAATAAAGTATATAACGTATATTATCAGCGAGTAACCTACATCAGCGAGTGACCTACATCAGCGAGTGGCCCAGCTTAACAAAATTAGTAGGGGCTGCATCTAAATATACGATAAGAAAATAATATCACTCCCAACAATTTTCTTATCAAATTCTGGCCTACAGCCCTGCTAAATTTATTAAGCTGAGTCACTCGCTGATATAGGCCACTCACTAATATGGGTCACTCGCTGATAATATACGTTAAGTTAATTTCGTAAAGCTGAAGTAGAAATAGTCGAGTTAGATAAGTTTTCATATTATCATTAACGTGATCCACCATTGACTCGGACACCCCATTGACTCGGACACATTTTCCCCCACCATAACCACCCAACTTCAACACGCGTCTCTACCACAACAATGTCCGACAGCTTCCCAGAAAACCGAGTTCTTCTCGCGATCAATGCGATTCGATCAACACCGCGCTTGAGTATCCGACGCGCCGCAGAGATATACAATGTCCCCAAGTCGACAATTGCAGATAGAATGAAGGGAAAGATCGCGAAGTCCGACAGCTATCACGGCCGTTCGAATTTGACGAAGATCGAAGAGGAGGCCATTGTTCAATACATACTCGACCGAGATTCGCGAGGGTTTTCGCCCCGGATTGTCGACGTGGGTGATATCGCCAATCTCCTGCTTCGGAAACGCGGTGCGCGACACGTTGGAAAGAACTGGCCAAACCGCTTCATTGTACGACGTCCAGAGCTAAAGACGCGTTTTAATCGCGTCTATGACTATCAGAGAAGCCTCTGCGAGGACCCTGCAATTATCGAACCATGGTTCCGACTGGTCGCCAATATGCGAGCGAAATATGGTAT